TATGTATTTATTTATATATGTATATAATATATATGCATATATTTAGTGGTGTGTGCGCTAGCCGACTGACTTGCACTATTTTTAGTCTCTGCCCAAGTCTGCGGCAAATTCATTAATGCTGTTTTGCATACTAAATGCAATTTCAGCGAGAAACCTGTCAAAAGTATAAACATAAACATGTTTAGTCACTGGCGCTGCACAGTAATAAATTGTGTGTGTGTGAGTGGGTGGGTGTATGTGTATGTGTGTTTGGGTGTGTGACTGTGGGCATTTTGATATATATATTTATATGTGTCTGTGGCCTTGCCACCTTGGCGACACCCACTCACCCGGTCAGAATAGCTGCTCCATGGCAAATATATTTATTGTCTCAAAAAAAGAATTTTTCGTAATTTTTCTCGAGGTATTTTATTTAATAAAAACATTTTTATAGCTATTTAAAGCAATTAAAATTAAATTAAAAAATATCGAATAAGTATAAAATAGCAAAGWAATTTAATTAATAATAATATTATTTAATGCTTTTATTTTAAAATAAAATAAGTCAAAATTTCTTCAAAATAAAATATAAAATAAAATAAATTAAAATAAAATAAAAATTCAAACATTAAATAACAAAAAGAAAAGTATTTAAAACGTATTTTTAAAAAATTAAAAAGCTATACAAAATAAAAATTGATTCAATAATAAATATTGTAAATTATATTCAACTGAAAAGCTTTTAAGACACTTGTCAAATAAATACATTTAAATTGTAATATAGAATATTACGTATACGCAGCAAGTGACAAAGGCAAAAGCTTGCTAAAGACGAACCCACAGCAAAATGAATAAATATAGCAAACGAAATGACAAAGTAGAAAGAGCGAGCTTTTATACAGTTAGGCAGAGAATAGCTCGATATATGTATGTATATATATTGGTATCTGCATTTGTATGCGTACACATATAGAATTATATTTATGGTCTAATAGGTGAGCTCTTTGAAATCGTCTTCAATTGTTTTGTAGTATGCATTTCCGCTGCGTTTTGCAACAGGTTGTATACAAAGATTTCTGTAATTATTTTCCTTTCTTTGTACATTTCCCCTATATCTTTTTTTTGCTTTTTTTTTTTTTTGTAAACAAACGAAATCGAATCGTTTGGATAGGAAAATAATGAGATTTTCAATACCATTCGCTGGCAAGCGATAAACGATCCAAATACGATTCCCAATTGCTCGTAGCTCAAGACTATTTCCATTCTATTCTTGTATTGTTGCATGCCCACCTGAACGTTAAATCTATTTTGTACTCAATTAACCTTAACCTTACAGCGCTGCACACGATATAAATACGTTACTTATGTGCCATTAAATAAGCATAGCCCCACCCATAGCTACACTCTACCCCACAGTGTGTCCCTACCTTTACCATCTATACAGCACGCAAAAAACTAAACAATTTGTTGTGCTACAATAAAAAAAAAAAAAAAAAGAAACAATCAAACACAAACCAAACCAAAGCCCAAGTCTAATGTCAACCTGTGCTGGCGTTGATATTGCTGTTAAATTTTGTCTAATCTTTGCACATCCATCCGTTCATCAGATAAACAGCAGTGCCGCAAGTGCGCCAAGGCCTTGCAAGAATTGGAGAATATCGACGACGAGGCCGATCAGCTGGGCATCGGCTTTGTCAAGATCCACGACGAGGCATTGGCCGATGAATACAATTTGGGCAATCTGCCGGTATTGGTCTACTATCGCCATCAGACACCAATTATTTATGAAGGTATAGCATGCCCAGATCCCTAAACGAGTTGCACCCCTTACAGATATACGTATCGAAAATCGATTGTTTTGTAATTATCGAAACTGTGTCCAGGTGAACTGCAGCGCGAGGAGGACGTCTTGGAGTGGTTGGTGCAAAATAAATCGACCGGCGATGAGGATGATGTGATCGAGGATGTTACATCCAAGACCTTGTCGACGCTCATTAACAATATCGATAATTTGGTTGTACTATTCTGTACGTATACATGGTATATATATATATGTACTCGCTCGATAATTAGATCGATCAACGTCTCTGTAGATGATCACGGCAATGATGATTCGATGACCGTATTGGAAGAGCTAGAACAAATCGACGATGACTGCGACAAGCATGGCATACAATTCGTGAAAATCGATGATGCCAAGGCCGCAGCCGATTACGGAATCGATTCGGTACGGAATACAATAACGAAATTCATCTAACTGCAGTTCCAATCAATGTGTATGATCTGTCCATGTAGATTCCGGCAATTGTATACTTTGAAAAAGAAATTCCAAACGTTTACGATGGCGATCTCATGGATGAGGAACAGATACTTAAATGGTTGTTGGGTCAGTTGGAACATGATGAGATCGAGGATGTCACCGATGAAATGCTCGATACAATGATTAAGGAAGGACGCGTCATTGCAGTGCTGTTCTGTAAATATATCTACCCCAAGATTTAGACGCTGTTGTTGTTCTTACATCTGTTGTTGTTGTTTGGTTGTTGTTTTCCAGACGACAACAACGACAAGAAATCCCAAAAGGTGCTTGAAGAGCTCGAGAACATTGACGACGAATGCGACGCACTGGGCATTACTTTCGTGAAAATCGACAATCCCGAGGAGGCCGTCGAATATGGCATCAATAAAGTTCCTAAACTGATATACTTTGAAAAAGGCATTCCAACTATATACGAAGGCAATCTGGAGGACGAGGAGAAACTATTGAAATGGCTAGAAGAACAAACTAGTTCCGATCAAATCGAAGACATTACAGATGAAATGTTGGATTTGATCATTGAGAAAATGCCACACGTAGCCGTGCTCTTCTGTAAGTGATTTCTGGGCCACAAAACCCAGCAGAAACCCATCCAAAATTAAAGAAAATCCCATGCCGGATATATCCCATGCAGCTGTAGATAATGTAACATAGATCGTCTTATATATCTATATATATTTGTATGTTGTATTCCTTGTAAAACCGGGGTGTGTCTGAGTGTCTGGCGTTTAATCAAAAGCTGCTCGATGTGCTTATAAAAATTAATTCATTTCATCAAAAGCGCTTCAAACTAATCATAATACATTAATATGAAAAAAAGGAAGAAGTTTGAGGACCTCTTATAGTCATATATATATTTTATTATATATCGAAATCATAGTATGAAAACAGTTGCAAGTTGAGAGCTTTTCAGTAGTCACTTTAGAAGGCCTGTGATGCGTTTTTCTTTCCTATTTTCAATCTCTGTCATTTGATAACCAATATAATCGATAACACAATTCTTCACAGATGACAAAGATCAAAAGAAATCACAGAAAATCCTTGCCGAATTGGAAAACATTGATGATGAATGCGATCAAAACGATATCGCGTTCGTTAAGATCGATGACGACAAGGAGGCCAAGGAATGGGGCATCGATGAAATACCATCGATAGTGCTGTTTGAGCGCGGCATTCCCCACATCTATGAGGGTGATCTGATGAAGGAGGATGAACTGCTTGGCTGGCTGGTGCATCAGAAGCGTTATTCTGAAATTCCCGAGGTTACCGATGAGATGAAGGACAAACTGGTCGAGAACACCGAACATCTGGCGGTCATTTTCTGTAAGTTCAGATAAAATCTAGTACTCTATAAAATTAATTAAATCAAATACATATTTTATTTGCAGACGATAAGGATGACAAACAGGATATGCGCATTCTGAACGAATTGGAGAATATTGACGATGAGCTCGAAAAGGAGGGCATTGTCATTGTGCGCATCGATAATGCCGCCGAGGCCAAGGAATATGGTCTGGATCATTTGCCAGCATTGATTTACTTTGAGAACAAGATACCGGCTCTTTACGAAGGTGATCTGATGAACGAGGACGAGGTCCTCGAATGGCTGTTGGTGCAGAAGAAAACAGCTACCATCGAGGAGGTCACCGACGAGATTCTTGTCAACTTGATCAATGAGCATGAATATGTTGTCGTATTCTTTACGGGTCCCTGCGAACCGGGCGAGACCTGCGATCACACACTGAACGCATTGGAGAGCATCGACGATGAACTCGATGAGGCTGGCATCATATTTGTTACCACTGAGGATACCGGCATCGCTAAGAAATATAATGTCAAATCCTATCCACGATTGGTGTTCTTCAGAAATCGTGATCCATTGCACTTCACTGGCGATTTGGATGACGAGGACGAGGTTCTGGCCTGGATCACCGATGACGAAACCCTCGAAATTCCCGGCAAAATCGAGGAGGTCAATGTAAAAATGTTGGATAAGATATTGGCTGAAAACGATCATGTCGTTGTGTTCTTCTGTAAGCTTTCAGAATCTTAACAGAAAACCTAAAAAATATATTCACATTTAACTTTTATACATCTGACAGACGCTGAGGGCGATAAGAAGGCGCAAAAGATTCTCAACGAACTGGAGAACATCGATGACGAATGCGAGGAAAAAGACATCGACTTTGTAAAGACATCCGATGACGATATCGATAAGGAATACGATCTGCCCGGTTTGCCGGCGCTTGCATTTTATAGACATAAGTTTAGAACAATTTACACCGGTGAGAAAAACATAAAACTAATTGATGATGGGTACATATGTAATAAGAAATTTGGTTTACAGGTGATCTGATGAAGGAGGAGGAAATTCTGGAATGGGTTATCGATTTGCATGAATCGACTGCTGATGTTATTGAATCGGTTGATCGCAAAACGCTGCAAGTTTTGATCAACGACGTTGAACATCTAGCCGTTTTCTTCTGTGCGTTGAGTCTATATATAGGATAATGTAATTAGAGTTTAATCGTAATAATCTATCCGCTTTTACAGACGATGATGAGTGTGAGACGTGCCCTGGCATTTTGGAAGAATTGGAGAATATCGATGACGATACCGATAAACATGGCATTCAGTTTGTCAAATCGAATGACGTGAAGCTGGCCCATGAAATTGGCATTTTCGCATTCCCAGCCCTAGTCTACTACGAGACGGGCGTTCCGATCATGTATGATGGTAAGCTGCCCTCAATATTGCTGGCTTGCTAATTGAAATCTAAATTGAATTGTCTTCCATCCTATAGGTAATCTCAAAAATGAAAATCGTGTGCTGCAGTGGTTAATCAATCAAAAGAGTAAGCGTTCATATTTCAAAATGTTTTCTCCGCTTTCTAACTCACGCTCATAAGCCAAACATTCAATACCAAATCAGTTGAGCCCACAAGATCTTGGCCAAACTTCAAACTTACAAAAAAAAAAAATCTCTATACATATAGAGATTGCATATCAAATCCAAGCAAGTCGGATATATCCAAATATCATTCTACCCGTTTATAGCCATTTGTAAAATGTCAAAACGTAATGAATACTTTCGATATATATACGATATATAATAGGCAACGATGACGATGGAAGTGATGAGAAAATTGTTAAAATGAGCTATCCAAAAGAAAGTGATGTGGATAAAAGAGAAAGACTAAAGCGTCTGCAACAAACGATACGAAAACAAAGATTACGAAAACATTCACGCGATGACGATGATAATGGCGATGACGATGACGATAACGATGACGATAACGATAACGATAACGACAAAGATGACGATGACGACGACGACGATGACGATGACAACAATAATGACAATGACGAGGATGAAGATGACGATAATGACAATGACAATGACGACGAAGATGATGACGATGAGGATAATGATGATGAAGACGAAGACGAAGATGAAGACGATGATGAGAAAGATAACGACAATGACAAAGACGATGAAGACGACGACGACGACGACAATGATGAAGACGACGACGACGACGACAATGATGAAGATGACGATGACAATGATGACGACAATAATGATGATGAGGATGAAGATGACGATGAAAATGATAAAGACAATGATGATGATGAAGACAATGATGATGATGATGAAGAGGAAGATGAAGATGAAGACAAAAATAATGACGATGAAGACGATGATGATGAAGATGAAGACGATGATGAAAATGATAACGATAAGGACAATGATGATGACGATGACGATGACAATGAAGATAATGATGATAATGATGATGACGAAGATGATGATGATGATAATGACAATAACAAAGACAATGACAATGACGACGAGGAAGAAGACGAAGACGAAAACGATGATGATGATGACAATGACGAAGATGACGAGGATAATGACGATGACGATGACGATGACATACAGAATGATGACGACGATGATGATGAAGATAATGATAAAGATAACGACGATGATGACGAAGATGAAGACGAAGACGATAATGATAATGATAACGACGACGATGACGATGACGATAAAGATAACGATGACGAAGAAGAAGATATCAGCAAGCAAGTCTATAAGCACAGAGCTAAAGGCAGAACGATACATCGGCTTTCTGATCTATGCTCGGGTCATGTTATAGATGAAATAGGTAATACGTGAATGTGAGTTGCCATTGCCGCACTAACTGAAGTTGTTTTTCTTGTTGTCAACTCCTCTCCCTGAACTGCCAAACCAAATACAATTCCGACCATAATACACACTACAGTATTTTCATTGTCTATCTACAGACTTGGGTAAAAGGATTACAAGAAATGCATTTCATAAAGGTAACAAAAGCGATATATACATATATATAAATGTGTGTTGCGCTTAGCTTTTGTGGTAAAGCAATTCATCTACACCCATATGAAAATACGAAACATATAAAAATATGAATATATGATATAAAAACATACATCCACACACACACAGTCTAAAAGCCACGTCAATGTTTGCCCTCGTGAATGTATTAAAGACCTATCCAATGCTTCGATTTACCTACAATACTGTTTGAAGTTCCCCCAACCTATAACTTCTCTTTCTCTCTCTCGCTCTCTCTTTAAAATAAAGTAAACAAATTTGGTAAATAAAAAATTGAAAATAATGCAAAAATCATAGCTGACACAATGTTTTATAATAAAAAAAAAAATGAAATCAAGCAAATGTTAATAACTTAATTATTTGGATTATTGATATAATTATTATGTTCTCTTAATACTTAAGCAAACGTTTTTATTTGTTATAACTTATGAATAATAACCGAATCGAACCCGCTCTGCTAAATAATTATAAACAAACGAAAAACCAAAAGCTAAAGAAAGAAAAATATAA